TTTTGTATTCTTTCTCTCTCTCTCTTTCTCTCTCTCTCTCACTTTCTCTCTCTGTATGCGTATTTCAGTCTTTCTCGATCTCATCTCTCTCTCTCTTTCTCTTTTTTTGCATGTGTACTTCGTTCTAATCTATCTATCTATCTATCTATCTATCTATCTAATCTCGATTTAATCTTTTTCTTTTCCTCTATTTTGGTTTTATTTATCTATCTATCTATCTATCTATCTATCTATCTATCTATCTATCTATCTATCTCAGTCTGTTCATATCTATTTGTATCTATCTATCTATCTATCTATCTATCTATCTATCTTTTCCCTTATCTGCCTGTTTCCCACTCTACGTATCGGTATGTATATCTGAGAAAGAACAGAAAAAGACGGAAAGATTTTGACACACCTTGATGCGAGTTCGATCCTTATTAGAAGCTTTTTCAGTACGATCGATTTCTGTTCTTGAAAGACCAAAGAATGAATCGACTACAAATGTTGATTAAAAATACGGAATAAAAATTGAGGATTCAAACAAAACTTAATAAAAATTTCTTTTGAAAGATATGACTATTGATGTTTATGACAGTAAATGCTGAATATTATCTTCACAAATGAAAAAGAGACTATTTATCTAACTATCAATAAATCAGTTGTGACCAAGTAAATGGTTAAAGAAATAACAAAACAAGTGTTGCAGATATATCGTATATTAAACAGTAAGTACAATAGAAGAGTATTACATGACTAGTGAGTGTGTGTCGGTTGACCCAGCGTTCAATCTATTCGACTGTTAATATTTAACAGCGCCTCCCCACGAAGGATGTATGTGGCACAAGGCTGAGTTTACCGTGTGTTCTCCGAGCGCATAGGCTCGGTCAAAAATATTCCCGTAGAACCCGCATAAACATGGTTCGGGTCTGTTTACCTCCCCGGACGAAACTCTGCCCTTCGGTAAAGCCTCGTCCTCTCCGCTCATGGAAGAGAGTTCGACAGTAACGAACAATCTATGCGACTGTTAATATTTAACAGCCCCCATTCGCCACGAGGGATGTATATGGCACAAGGCCGATTTTACCGTGGGTTTTCCGAGCCTTAGAACCTGCATAAATGGGTTCAGGGCCTGTCTACCTCCCCGGACGAAACTTTGCCCTGCGGCAAAGCTTTGTGCGAGTTCCTCTCTGCCGAGGCAGAGAGGTCGACATAAATGAACAGTCTGGTCGACCGTTCTCCCAAGGCCTTCTCTCCTACTAATTTTATAGTAGGCGGAAGAGTTCAAAATAGATTCTTTCGAGGGAGGTCACCACAACAATATCTATTAGGCTATTTACTAATAATGTGTTTTGAAGACAAAATCAAAACTCCTTGAAATGTAACAATGTCTTTATTCGGAACGTAACAATGCGAAAAGCCCACTGTAAAAATACATCTTTTATTTCTTGGGGAAATAAATAAAGATTCCTGATGAAAATAATCAAAGCTCTCTTCTTTTAAGGTGATGGTGAGTAGTCCGTAGATTATCGTAGGTTTCAGACATCTTCTTTTAAAATAAGGCAAGGAAATCACAAAACAATTAAAAGTGAAGTTGCTTTCATTTAATCAACATTTTATTTAGAATGAAAATACAAATTTACATTAAGTAAAATCGTATCAGAATGGCAGGATTTTTTTTAATCATTTTACCCTAAACAAAGCAATAAAGTCATTAATGGGCTTACTGAACGTGAAAGAATATGAGTAAAAGAAAAAAAATGTTCATTTTTACGGAAACCGGAACACAATTTCTTAGTGGCTAAACTTGAAAGGACGTGAAGGAAGACGTTAATTCAGTGTGATCAGAAATCTTTTGCTCCAGAATCTCAGATTCATTCAATAAAGAAGGAAAAAATGGCTTCCATACTCGGCTTTTGCCTTTACTAATAACAAGCGTTATACTCTTTACTAAAAATCACTTTGGGGTCCAGCCGTAGACAATACCTTTAAAATTCGAGAAAATTTCAATGAAGCCGTTTATTTATTATTATTTTTGTCCACAATCAAAGAATTTGACTCATAATGGGCTTTTGTCATCGCTAACAATGTCGACGATGGTATTAACAAGAAAATGTCAGTTCTCCCACGGGGAGACATAATAAAGTCCGTAGACAAATGATGGAAGGAAAGCTCCATTCAATGCAACAGATTATTTTTTTTTTAACAAAATATCCTTCCTTTTCGATGCACTTTACTCAATCCTTCTCTAATAAGACAAACCGAACATCATACAGAGATATATAGACGAAAGAGTAAACAAACTAGCCGAACAACATGCTTTCATCACGGCAAAGGACCACAAAGCCAGCTTCATAGAAAAACCAACATTCAGACTAATTAACCCGGCGAAGAGCGAGATAGGAAAAATTAGTAAGAAGATATTAGAAAATATCAACACCAGCCTAAGGGAAAAATTAAGTCTCAACCAGTGGAAGAACACCAAAGCCGTCATAGAGTGGTTTAAATCGATAGACAACAAGAACAAATCCACTTTCATCCAATTTGACATTGTGGATTTTTACCCTTCCATTACAGAAAGCATATTAAATGAAGCCATACAACTGGCACAGCTAAATGTAAAACTCACGGACGGTGATATAAAATAATCAAGCATTGCCGCAAATCCCTGCTGTTCCACAACAATGAACCATGGGCAAAGACACAAAACCACAACCTGTTTGACGTAACAATGGGTAGCTACGATGGAGCAGAAATATGCGAATTAGTAGGCATTCTCATCCTATCATACCTGGCCAGAATCCTGGAGAGAAAGGACACAGGATTATACAGAGATGACGGTCTTATCTTAATAAGGGAATCCAATGGCCCCAAAGTAGACAAATTCAGGAAGAAAATAGTGAACGCCCTAAAAAACATTGGATTCATAATAGAGATAAATACAGGCACAACTATAGTAAACTTCCTTGACGTCACTCTTAACCTGATCAACAACACATATGAACCATACAAAAAAAAAAATGACACACCAACTTACGTACACACATCCTCAAACCATCCACCTTCTATCATCAAACAAATACCAAAGTCAATCAGCCGCAGACTATCTGAGAACTCATCTAACATGCAAATTTTCAATAGCAAAATAGCACCATACAACGAAGCACTAAAAGCAAGTGGTTACACACAACAACTACAATATATACCTCCACAGCCAAAACGCAGAAACAGAAAGAGAAACATTATCTGGTTTAACCCACCATATAACAAAACTGTTAAAACGAACATAGGCAAAATATTCCTAAACTTAATAGAAAAACACTTCACTGAAGAAAACAAATTATCAAAAATATTTAACAAAAATAACGTAAAGATCAGTTACAGCTGTACAAAAAACATAACAGATATAATCAAAAACCACAACAAAAATGTAACCAAGGATCCTATATGCAACTGCAGAAACAGAGCAACATGTCCACTCCAGGGAAATTGCCAAATTACGAACACAATATACAAGGCCAAGGTAAGTACAAACAACAACACTATGCACTACATCAGTGCCACCGAAGGTCCATTCAAGATGAGGAATAACAATCACAACCTTTCATTCAACAACAGGAAATATTCGAACAGCACCACACTTTCTACATACATATGGCAGCAAAAAGACAAAAACATCACACCAACAATAAGTTGGGAAATATTGAAAAAGCCCCTGCCTACAACAACATTACGAAAAAATGCCTACTTTGCCTACACGAAAAAGTAGCAATAATATCACACAAACCGCAAAAGAACTTGCTAAACAAAAAAAATCAGAGATAATCTCCAAATGTAGGCATGAGAACAAGTATCTATTATCCGAATTCATACCAAACGGATAAAACAGACAAACCACCAACAATCACAATTTAATTTCAAGATACCATCAAAATAATTGCACCTATCATTATTATAATTGCACCACCATTAGTAATCACTTTTACCACCTTACAATATCTATTAACTATCAATATTATCATTACCACCTACACACAGCACCATCACTTACACATCACACCCACTATTAACATATAATCCACTACAATCTTTATTACCCCCCCAGCATATTTAATACTTTAAAACAATATGATCAGATATAATTTCCATATGTAACCATGAGAACAAACACCTATTACCAGGCAGCTTTAATATAATAATAATAATTTTGTAATTAAAAATTATAGCAATCTTCAACTACCATAATTTTACATAGAATACCTATTATCAGGATTTATACCAAAATAAATTAATACATATAACAAAATAAAACAAAATAAAACACCAACAACCACTTTTTAGTTCAAGCTACCACCACTATAACTACATTCATGGTTTTATCATTCTCCCACCACCGTTACTAATCATTTCTACCAATCTGCAATTTCTTCCAGTTTACAATAACTATTAGCTAAAACCTAAATAGCATTGTCTCCAATCCTTTGAAACATTACTATCACATCATATCATATAAACCCGTTATTAAATTAAACATCACCATATAAATTAAACAATAAGGATTACAATTTTTTACCTGTTACATATACACAGTCACCAAAAAACAAACAAATAACCAGCTTTAAATATAACAAATAAACCCCATTTTTTTCAAAAAATTTAAAATAAATATAAATAATTTAATAATAATTTTACCTATCATAATTTTACACAAACCCCACCACACATATATACATACATGCGAGAAAATATATTTTTCAAATATTTTTCAACGGAAAAAAAAAAAAAAAAAAAAAATTTCATAATATGACATGGATACATTCACGAGACAATAACGAGACATTTCCGCCACACTTCCAATGTTTAAATTTCAACATTTCAACATACAAATGCGTATGTATAGACATAACACCACCCGTATACATACATGTGTCATAGCCGAAACTGTCTACATATGTTTATATATATGTATGAGTCCCGACGGACGACCAAGTATGTATATGTATATGTGTCTGCATACATCGATGTTTGCGTTAGTACGATGAATGACAAAACGACGAAATCTCCCCACCACTTCCACAATAACACCAATACACGCAATCTACATAAACCCAAATTTTTTAAAACAGTAATCAGTTTGTCTGACGATCGCTAAAGCGTGAAACCCAGGGTCACAAACTCACATCTATCCAACCAAATATGTTAGCTCTATCTCTGATATTGAGCGCTTTTAATAAGTACCGCGCATATAATATATAAATAATTATACATATATATATATTTATTTATATTTATATTCACTTTTCACATATATATATATATATATATATATATATATATATATATATATATATATTCGTATAAATCAATTTTCGTATAAAAGAACAGGTTTTGTTTAACCTCCAAACAACCAACATCACTTTTCA